CACTGAGCGATATGGCTAGGTGTCGTAAACAGTGGCGTTCGTGCATCTCCTCAATTTCTTTCGAACCTTAGACTACTGAAGTTCTCCATTTTCTTTTCGGATCCACGTTCAACTTTCCTTTCTTCTCCTATTCTTCATCCCAATGGGCAGCCAAAAGTCAGCAACCAAAACCGGCGCTCGAATATGCGTGGTTAATGGTTGTTCAAACTGAAACTGAAATCTTTGTCTCAGTGTGTTTTCCCCATCTTACTTTATTTTTCAGCACTTATTTTCTCTGGCTTACTTAAACAGGGTTTCAAAGCTTTATTTCGCGGTCTAACTAGTAGCCGCTTTTTAATTCATGTGAATTAGGTAGTTCGGAAACTTTTGGAGCATCATAAAAATTCGTGCGTCAAAATTGCGAAGAGGATTTTCAAAGATCCTTACCACCTATTACACAGAGAGCTGACACGTTATTGTTCCCATCCGTCCACGCACTCGATTCGGTAAAATTTCATCGCGTATAAACGGTTATCGAAATTCACCTATACTCTACCTTGCAAGTTTAATCACAAACAAAAAGAGGGTAACAGGTGAACTTTGTCTTAACCCTGAACTATGAAATGTCCTTATTTGCTTAATCATCCCCTCCTGTTAAATGTGTTCTGTTAGGATTGTTATGTATAGATTTCTCACATAAACGTAAGCTTTAGTCCTTGTAAACGTTAAACACAATACAGTACAATGAAATGAAGTCTACTTCAGATGCATATTTGAAGATCACTTCAAAACAGTGAGGCTGCATGTAGTCTCATTGTTGTCTTACAGCGGAGTACCCAGACCTCAGGTCCATGGAAACCATATTCCTAAGAAGATAACCACTGTCCCAAATAAAATTACGGTTTCCAGTTTCCTGGATCAATTGATACAGTGCTCTGTTAGCTATTTTACTCCCAATAAGCACTAATTTTCTGTGTTGACATTGTTCGAGCCATGGATCTCTAGGTCCCACATTGCAAAACCTTGTTGCCTTTCTACCCTATATTTAGTACCTGTACATCACATCTTCTATCAGTTGTTGGTGGTGTTATGTGACAGCTCTTAGTATTCTAACAGTTGAAGATATTCAGGTCTATGTATCATTTGATGCGAGAGATGTCTCCTGTCAGCTTTAGGTCGTCATCAAATTAAAGAACTTACACCCAAGTCTCATTTGCAAACCATTATTAAACACAAGGATAACCAGAAGGCCTCAAACCGATCTCTGTGGGACCCAGTTACTATCTGTCTTTCCGACAATTTATATTCTTCTACGTTTACGTGAAATGTTCGCTCTTTTAAGAAAAATTTACTTCAAGTGAGAAGTACTGGGGATAATTCAAAACAAAAAGTTTCAAAAATCGAAGTGCGTTTATAGAATCGAAAGTTCTTCGACTCCATATGTTCATTCCGTAATTTTATTTCACAACGCCAAACAAGTTAAGCTGCATACATCCCTAGCAGCTCTGGCTGTTAGTGACGGATTACCACCATTTCTCACAACACTCTACTTAGTACCTCCAGTATTACAGTCTTCAACCACTTCACTGAACGGTTAGAAGACTCATAAAATGCTCTTTGAGATAGTAGTTGAAACCAGAGCGTTGCCTAACTTTCCCTTATATCATCATCAACAAACTCTATTTGAAAATCTTTTTAAATTGGCGAACAATTCTGTAGCGTTTCAGACATTCAGAAGCGGGTTTTTCTTCAACATAACCATCAAAACACTAAAAGTGAAGATCAAAAACCATAATTGTTAATGTATATATATATTTCACAATAAATAGTATATGAATCACTGGACAAAATTACCCTGGAAGCACACAACCGGTTTCGCGGTTCTTGCCGCTCGTCAGACATGCGTATCCGGCAATCTTATGGCAGTTCATTGATATACTTGTGCCCAGGAAGTGTATTTTCGTCACAACAACCTTGTTTGCAACATCGGGTGACCATTGGATAGACAGCTTCCAATATACATATATATATATATATATTGTTGCCTTAGCACCCCACTTGCTCTCAAGCCGATGATATATGTGTTAGGTATCAAGTAAAACTAATGTGTTTGATAAATTTCTTGAATTTTGCTGCGAATCATTAGCTGCAAAGAATTTGGATTGTTTAAAAAAATGCGTCTTTTTACTTTTAAATTTCTTTTTGCTTCCTTTTTCTATTTATTGAATATACAGATGTACAGTCCAGGAAGGAGGCTGCGGCCATACAAAGGCTGCCTAGAGAAAATACAGATATAGGGAAGACGGGCGGCGGTGGAACGGTTTGAACCCGGGACACCCAGGTCCTTAGTTGGTGACCTAACTACCTGGCCACCATGTTTACATGGTTGTCAATTCGAATACATCGTCACACAATCGTAGTCTATCTAGGAGGAGCATTAACGTTGATTTTCTTTCACTGCACCTCATCAATGATGAACTTCTACCAGTTCATTCAGAGTTTCACTTCCTGACCTCTAGCATGGAATTATACTTACTGTTATGCTTCCAGTTCATTTCTTTATATTGAACAAATAACTGTATAATGGGTTTCAGGAGAAAACTGTGACAAATCCAAATATGCCTGAGGAAATACTGAAATGAGAAGGATGAATACCGGCGGTTGGATTTGAACACTTGACCTCCAGGCCGGTGTTATAATGACCTTAAATACCTAACCACCACTCTCCTAAGAGATTTTTGTGAGCGCCCCAAATTAAATCTACTAGAATGGTGGTTCACTGTACATTTTAACTCCAAATTGTTTGCTAGTAGTGAAGACCAATCATTCAGAAAAGCAGTGTAACGCTTATCCCACCCCACCGGTCTCCCGTACTTATAATTTCTGAAGTAAATTTCAAATAATTTGATCTTCAGCATAAATACGCGGTTAGTACTGTTATGGTCTTAATTCCTTACATGTTAATAGCATACATGTATGAAACAAAATAATACGCGATGACGACACTAAGAACAATTTGGTTCCACTGAAAGCATAATCCCGTTTTGTTTCTCTATTCATTTATTGCTATTGTCTTTGCTCATTCATTGAAGGATTTTCCAACTTGATTTATTTTGAGCATAGTCTTAGATCAGACCGGTCTCAGCATACAGATATACTAATAAATCAAAAAGTCTTAATTGTAAATCTCAGTATGATGAAATTGGTCGTTGCTGTATGGTTTTGCGTCCACACCGCTAGTCAGAGATAAGGACTACTGAAACACTTCACTTCTGAGTAGCAATAGTTGCAGCACAGCTTAATGGAAACGCATTGGAAACAGGCGAAGTGATCGTTGCGTGACTTTCATGCTTTGAGACGCTGACTACCGATAAACATGCTGATATGTTCATGTTAGGTCATCTATTGGAGGGGGACTTTGAACTGGTTTGCAATCCAATTTTGAGCACCTACAGCTAATAGAGCTCCATATGTTGTAGTTAATTTAGTCGATGTACAATTTCTGCATTACGTTACCCAATAATTGTAATTAATCAGCATATTCCGCTTGTTTCTGTCGAATGTTTTCTGCGTTTTGTTCCAAAGGCGGAATAGCCAGCCTCTTGAGCGAACTGAATTTCGCCTAATGACAATGAAGTAAATAAGTATATTCAATACTCTAAGCACGTTAGCACAAATCCTTAAACCAAATATAGTTTTGCATTTAGTAGCCGTAAAAAAACACGATAGAACGAAAAATAAATAGCTTACAGTTCCCTATCTTCATGTAAAGAGCAAACTATTCAAACAAGTGAACAAATTGACAGTCCAAGGATAATGAACACAACTGACTCAATTACAGTCTCATTACTTCCATCAGTTTATTCTTATTTAAACATTCAACACGATCAAATGTGCAACATAGGAAATCCGCCCCTTATCGTTTGTTCACTAAGGTTTTCAACACCAAAGTTTGTAAAAACAATAAGTGATTTAAGAATATTCTGATAATTTTTGGTGTCACGCTTACAGCGACATGGCTAAAGTTTCTGCGTTGAGGCTAAAGGGTTGCGGCTCTCGGTTAGAACAAAAATAATAAAGTGCAGCTCACAGTGTGGTGGGTGTTGTTAAGCCAGCTTGAAATTTACTACTAAATAAAATGGTATCCTTGACCAGTTGTTGAATCTATAAATTAATGAAAAACCAGTGCAGTGAACTAAAAACGTACATGTGATTTAAAAGCTTTTTCCACCCTAAATGACTGTAAATGTCAAATGGTTCCTCGTTAACTCGGTTGGTGGAGCCAATGATCGTACATGTGATAGTTTATTGACACATGCATGAATAAAAATAGAAATACTTGCAAATTATTTTATGAGGTGACATTGAAAGCAATGCAATGTTCACAATGCAAGTGTATATTATTTCTCATCGTGGTATAATTTTCACGTATGGTTTTATAAACACCTTGTCTGTGGTGTTTTCCGCCGTCGGTCATTCGTCCGTTTTCAAAACCTCTTCTCAACGGAGAGAACAGCCTGAATTTTGGGACGTGCGTTTGTGCTAATCAGAAAACGAATTGGTTCGAAGGGTACGAAGCCAAGCAAAGGATAAACAGCCACGGGATACAATTTAATGGTGTCTTTAGCCTACAGGTGAACTGGAATGAATACCACGTATAAAAACGCATTTGATCATTCAAAAAATGCTTAAACCGTATTTTTCAATGTATTAAACATACTGCGGTAATTATTAAATATAAATAATACACGTAGAGTCTGCTTCCTTCGTTTTTAGACTACTCGGAGATTCAGCAATGGTTTCAATGAAACTGCAAAGAATTGATCACTTCCAAGTAAATTGCTTTTCCCATCCTATTGGCTTGATTAGATCAACTCGACTTCTAAAGGATGTGCTGTTTTGTTGGTTGGAGAATACAAAACCCCGTTCTCCGTCCTTGCAGTTTCCGATAGCTCGGGTCAAGTAAACTTATTCCGGTTTACCGAATCGCGAGACGTAAGTCACGCAGTTACTGTCATCTAATCTACTGTTTCGTTAAAGACCGAACAGAAAACATTTTATGTGGAAAAGCCGGTTAGCAAATTGAAAGCAGACTATCAGACCAAAAAAGATAAACCGCGCCTAATCATTGCGCACAATAAACAAATATCAACCTACTCAACACGAGGCAAGCTATTGCGTAGTTACGATTCGAATGTAGATGGTCAGATACAGGCGTTGTAAGTGAAATTTCAGTTCACTCACACGCGTTATGCAGTGATTATAGTCTGAATAATATCTACATGGTTACAGGACATGTTTATCAGAAAGTTTATAATAACAAAGAGGAAGAGTTTCTTCTCTGTCCAGACGCAATTTCTGACATCATGGTAGTTACAGGTATCGGTGATTGCTCTACAGCATTCGTCGTTCTTGCCTGTCAAGACTGTTATGTTCGAATTCTGAAGGTAAGCAGTGTTGTTATCGGTCAAATTAATCATGTCAGGGTGGAGTTGTCTCCTTCGAAGTGGAATTGAATGGTGCCCCTGTTTGCCTTGCAAAAGGACAATCATTTGATTTAGTATTCTTCGGAAGTGCAAACGGGACCTTTGGATTAATACAGTTGCTTTCGTGAGTTGCATCTTTTTGTGGAAGGCATAACCCGAGCAATTAGTTCGTATGCTCAAAATGTAATATTCCCTCGCGAGTTGGACTGAAGAAACCATAAGCACAATTTATGCGAAATCACTTCACTGCATCTGTCTACATACATTTATCCATATTTCCCCGCTTCTGTTCGTATATGTTGAATGGCAGCCCTTTGATTGGCCGCTTCCATCTTCCTAAAAATTGTATCTTTGTGTATTCAATAAAAGGAAGTAAAGTGAAAAGAACAAATAAAAGATATATATATATATATGGGTCATTCGCACAAGGTGATGACCGTCCACCGTGTAGCTCAGGGGTAAGGGTTTGAAGTCCCAACCCGAACGTTCGCGGTTCGAGTCCTGACAGGTACACAAAAAGTACGCACTGCTGACGAACCCCAAACAGGACACAACAAATATCCAGTGCTCTTTGTCGGTTATCACAAACATTTCTGTAAGCTGCTATAGTTACAACTGCACCTCAGGCAAAACTACACGCTTTTACAGTCATGGATCAAGGGATGAATGGATAAGTGCTTTCTAAAGAGAGTAAGAAATGCTAACACGTAGGGATGGATGCTAAATCTAGTTTTATTCACTAGTGCGAATGTGAATGTTCTCCTATCTGTGTCGGTAGGACATAATCGAATCACCGAACACGTATGGTTTTGAGGTGTGTAAGTGAGGGGGGAGATTTACCAGCAAATTCACAATGATTACGCCATACTCCAGACACAGAAAACGCAAGTAGCACATTATGAAACATCTCTGGGAGAAGCACTGCATAAAGCGTGCTAACTGTTTTACGGATTGTACACCACTAGCTTAAGTATTAACTTATGCAAATAAACCGAGGCTCCGACCATTTACAATCATCAACCCGAACTGAGCAAACAGTTTCAGTTTTTACAATCATTAATCGTGCACTTTCGTGCGCCGGTTTTCGTTGTTGTCTTTTGGTTGCACATTAGGATGGGAGAGCAGAATTTAGTTTGGAATGTTGAGAGCAAATTTAAGGGGAAGGTAGTGAATTCATAGAGACTGGGGTTGCAAGAATACTGAGTGTATGCATGAGCGCCATTGTTTGCGACACAGCTATATCACTCAGTGTTTCTAACCACCGGTTATCATTGTCTCGGAGTCCCCATCCATGGAACATAATGGAAACTGTGTGGCCCAGTCTCCTGGTTGGGGTTTTCATACCCTCATACCAGGTCTTAGTTTGACAGCCCTTCACTATTACGTCTAACTCTCCGTTGGTGGACAAAACATATCCGATTCGCCTTCCAGCTTGATCCGTGAGTGTGAATGCCTTCAGATTTATCTTCGTTCTAATGGTGATTACTTTTTCTTGTATAAAAATTACGTTCACTGCAGAGTGCGTGTGTACAGATGCGCCAGAATAACTGCGGACGCATGATGCAAGTCAATTTTTTCTGGTCATTTGTTCGTAATAAGTTGCTCGAATTTTTCACAGCCGCATAAATCTATTCATCGTATAGCTTACCGTAAAACCGACAGGACTACCGGCGAAGCTAGTAATCGCAATCAACAGATGAGTATATGTTTAGTTTAACCGCTTCGATCCCCTGCCCACAGTAACTTGCTCGGTACAATCTATTCTTAAAACACACATAACGCATTTGCGTGAGTACGCAACTATCTGACTGATAAGTTATCCAGTAGGTCTAAGAAGGCACATTAACAACGTTAAAGGGAACGCTTCTCCATGCAATACCTGCTGATTTGCTGATTTATCTAAACGACAAAGCGTGTTCTGTTAATTGCTGTGGTGTTTTACAATTATCTGATTCCAGACTGTCTCTGTTTAAGGGCAACCAGGATCAACCCGATTCTCGTTAATTGCAATAAATGCGTCAAATGTTGATTGTATTTTTTATCGGGATGAATTATTGATTCTTTCAAATACTTTCTGAATGCAGACAAAAGAGTTTGATGTTCCCAATAGCAGCATTCAATATCCTTTAGAGTTCTAACTTCCCCGCATTCATGTGACGATAGAGAGATCCCCAAACCGCATCTACTACAATGTTGAGGTAGAAAGGAAGGGAGGTGAGCATTCTTAGAGGCAGTATATCTAAAAACTGCCACTGAAGTAGACTCGGTTGTGCGTTTACCGCTAGAGTTGAAAAGCACCTCCAAGATGAAGAAAAATGTTATGACGACTGATTTTCCTGAGCTACTAAGCGAGAAGAACTGAATTAATATATTAAAAATAAACAATATTCATAATTTTGCAATAGGACCTATGGAGAGTGAAATTTGGATTTGTTAACCACTAGTGAAGTGTTCCACTACACCAATCTTTTTTCGGTTCGTGAACGACTTGCATGTTGATTGGGTAGCGCTAGAGTATATGATGATAACCTAGGTTATGGTAGTCATTCATAACTAAACAATGAACAATTAATTGAAAGTGACTCCGTGGTTCTGAGAACTTAAACACCATCGTTGAATTCGGAAACTAAAGTTTCGCTAGTTCAAATAGGGCTTGAAACACATCCTTTATTTTATTTCCCTCTATTAACTATATAAGAGGACCATTTTCAGGAGGAACACAGCGGTTAGTCAGAAAGGTGCCATACAATACAATCTCGACTTCATGCGAACGGGATATTGTTTTGAGGATATATATTGTTCAAATTGGGTGAGCAACAAGCAATCAGGGATCTTTATGGGGTTCAGTATGGGACCTACATGTATTCAGTTCCAGTTTGAACAATCATTAACCATGCAATTTCGTGCGCCGGCTTTGGGTGTTGTCTTTTTGATGAACAGTAGGAGGAAGACAGGAAATTTGAAAGTAGAGTCGAACAGAAGATGGAGGATTTCAGTGGACTAATGTTACAAAGAAAATGAGAGAATGCACAAACGCCACTGTTTACGTCACAGCCGTATCACTCGGTGCCTCTAACCATTGTTTACGATCATCCCGAGGTCCCCATCCGGGTAACCTAACGGACCTAAGTGACCCAGATTTCTGGTTTTCATACCCTCGTTCCAGATTTTTGCTTGACCACCTTTGGCCTTTTTCCTCCATTACCTGCCTCGGCGAACATCGCTCGCTGTGGCAACCTATTTGGTGAAATGCGTAACACGTGACCCAACCAAAGTAATCTACGGAGGTCGACCAATTGCTCCAGTGGGCAACTGCGGTTGCCTAAAACTCTGGGCCTAACCTCAGCATTGCTCGTCCGGCCACCCCACCAAATTCGTGCAATGCTGCTTAGACAATGGTGTTCAAACACCTACAGCCTATTCAAAGTGTCAGATCCGAACAACGTTCGGAGTGTATCGAAAAATCGATGCGCCGTGTGATATGTTTTATATAAGTTGTAATTTTGAAACTCACAGCAATGTCGGTACAGGTGAAAATAAGCCGACGTTTCGGTTACCGTGGATAACCTTTATCAAGGCGATTTTACAAACGATTGCTTCTCACGCGTGTACTATTCACGTGCGGCAGATAATCGACGGAGTATGATGCCAGCGAGACGTTTAGAGGCAATGTTGATTAAACTAATTCCTCTGTNCTTGTAAATCGGCATGATCACCGATTCACACCATTCAGTCGTAACCTGCCCCTCTCCACACTGAGCCCAGAAGTTTCGTTAACTACATGACTAACGCTGAACTTCCATCCTTAAAAGCCGACGGGAACAGCCCATCTGGGACGGAGGTTTTATATCTTTTGAGGTAGCTTATTTCCCGGGAAACCTCCGTAACGGATGGAGTACTAGCATCCACTGGGAGTATTTGTTCAGTCGAGGTAGGGGGTGATAGATCAGATGTCGATGGGGGCCAGTTGAATTGAGCCCCAAAATGTTCAGCCTATCGAACAAGATGTCGTTGCTGATGGTGAATCAATGTGGCATCGGATTCCTTAATCATCCCAATTACGCATATTTTTCTGGAGCCCGTATTCCTAATTAAACGGGAAAGATTGCGACTATTACCAATAGCCACAGTTTTCTCCATCTCTTTGCACTTTTCTACCCACCACTTCTCGCGATTATTCCTCATATTCTTGATGAGCTGGTGTTTTAAGGGATTTTTACGCTGTTTCACATGTATGGTACACTCGGTATTGTTCAAAATTCACTCCGATTGACTTCCATATTTGTAAACTTTTTCTTCCTTTACACATCACCGCATCTTTCAGAACACAGGCAGTCGTTCGGTGGACTCAGTCTCCCTCTGGACAATACGGTCCCGTGATAGCGATTGAACATTATGATTTGGATCGAGATGGCGAACCAGAATTAATTGTGGCGTACGAAAAAGGTGTCGTGCAAGTCTTTGTCTACGATGANCGGATATCCACAACTTGTTTACGAAGTGGTAAATTATGCTATAATAAAGCAAAGGTTGATTGGAAGTTAATCGTACAATGTAAATGGAAATTATTTTTGCTTGAAAACGTTGACTGTATCAGATAGTTAGTCTGATTTCGGCTCACCTCCCACTTTTATTATTTCCAAACTTGGCAGGAAAAATGTAGTTGTCATAGGAACATTTGTTGTGCTTTTCAAACGGTCGCTGAGACACATCAACCGATCATACCAGTTTTAATTGCGCTTATTGCTGCACCTTCCAAATCGATCGGTTTAAAATTCCCTACGACAGATTTGTAAATCTCAATAATCAATATTTTTAGAATTCATTCTGCTCAGGAATTTTAATCTCTGTTTATCTCAGCACTGCTTTCTTATCACTCTTTCAAATGTTTACATGGTTCCTTTGAACGACCGCAAATTTTGGATACTGTGTAACTGTGTGAATTATTCGGTTATTTTTTTGTGCTATTCAAATCACCCTGTTCTGTTTCTCTAACCCTGTTGGGGTTAACTAATCAAAGCCTCTAAACAACATGACCAAATGCATCGATAAGTGATTTTTGTGCGTCTCTGCGGCAAAATTAATCACATGATTTCATCTTTCTCTAGTCTCACTGAAAAAATCATTTGAATAGGTCTGAAAACGTATCATTCTCACAATCTGCGCTAATTTCTACAATAGTTCAGTTGCTACTGGTTATGTTCTAGGGTTTTTATAATCGAGAATCAGTCCACTCATTTCCTGTACCAGTATTTTTCAGATATTTTTTTCACTGTTTTCTAAATTAATTCAACCCAAACTTTACCGCGGTGGTCGGCCTCCGTAGATTGCTTTGGTTGAGTCACGTGTTACGTTTTTCACCAAATATCTTACCATGGTTGCGCTGTCTGCCGAGACAGGTAGCGGGTGGAAAAAAGCCAAGAGTGATCAAGCTAAGACTTGGCACGAGGGTGTGAATCAGGACACTCGGTCACCTGGTTTGTGTTCGGTTTCCCGGATGGATACCTCGGGACCAGTGTAATCAAGGGTTAGAGACACCGATTGCTGTGGCTGTGTCGTAAACATTGGCGCTCGAGTATCTCAATTTCTTTGCAGCCTTAGTCTATAGGGATTCTCACTTTTCTCTGTTTGGCACTGCTTTTATATTTCCAATCTTTCTGCTATCCCTTCATTCAAATCTGCAGCCAAAAGGCGCTTCACGAAAGTGTATGGGTAATGTTTATACAAACTGGCACTGATTATACTGATTACGTCAAATAATTCAAGCCTATGTCCAACCAAATGTTGATTAGTTAATACTTGTTATTTTCTGTTTTCCGTCTCATGGTATATAAATTGCATAGGTTGATGTACATTCGAATGTACTATTCACTGATTACTTTATAGTATCAAGAAGGTGAAAATGTAGCCTGACATTATCAGCGCATCTGTTCGCTTCCACCATACATTTAGTTTTTCCAATATTTCATACCTCTTTTTGTCTCGCTGACACTTGCACAACTTTTTGATCAGTCTTATTATTTTTCTTCACTGATTGATCAAAAACAGCAACCAAGCCCCGGAGGCTCATTGTATTTCAAACTAAAACTGAAAATGTAGGGATCTATGCAGGAATCTTATGTTGTTGTGCCTCTTGTCGATGCAATCTCTTGTAGATCTGACTTTTCCTCAAGTAGGAGGTATCTCGTATAGGATATAGACTGGACAATGAAAGCCCCACGAGAAACTCAATCAGAAAAAAATTTTCTTTGAACGGATGATGCAATACAGAGCCACTTCACTGGATCGTTGTTTATTGTGAAATTATGAACTTCTCGTTGTCACTCGTAAACCCACAGACTTCCGTTTGCTCCCTGCCTTTTTTATATTCTCTGTAACTGCAGGATCATCATGACAGACTAACTTCGATGGTGGTGGGTATATTTTCGAACCAAAAGTATCCGGAGATTATTTGTATCACTTACACAGGTGTGTTTTGAAGTGTATTTAGTAAACATTTTTTTAAATGTGCTTTTTAGATTGGTTTACAATTTAACAGGTATGAAATATATCATCACTGAATAAAGAGCATTAGATGTTTGAAATTTTGGCGGGCTGTACATGCAAATTTATAAATATGGAGCTCTCTCTCTGGAGCTCATTTAGAGAAGAAACAGCGGTGTAGTACTCTTTATTGGATAACACTAGCAAAATTTCGTTGTTTCAAGTGCTATTTCACATTTGATTGACCCATCGCATCAATGTCCTGTGAACAATACCCCTGGAGGCTTTATATACATATATATATATTATCAGCTTGAGAATAAGCAACACAACAGCACTAAAAGTGGAAAGAGCTAGTTGGCTGAATAATAGGGAAATAAAAAGATTACAGAGAACAACAATTTTGATCAATGTAGTGAAATATCTTGTAAAGAAGAAAACAACAGGTTTCCAGGATTTCTAAGTAATAGAAGGCGTAACTGTGGCGGGGTTACTTTGTTTTCCCTAATTGATATGCGGCTTCTCGAACATTTCGAATCGGTATCATGAAGCAACCCCTGTAAAATTAAAAAAACTAACGCGAAATGTATACCCCTGCCCACGTTTACTTCATGTATTTATGTGATTTTCATGATTTTCATGATTACCGTTCAATTTGTGACGGGGTTTTCTAAAGGACGAACTGATCGAACGCTGTTCGGTTAAAAAACTTAAAGAACTTTAGTAGTATCGAACAAGAGAAGCTGCATACAGCGTCCATTGATTTGGCCTGAATCTATGAGAAATTTTAGAGTTCTATCTGTGATTCCCGTTAACGATAATTCGTATTTCCATATCTGTGCTGATAACCACGCTCTCGATTACGGATATGCAGGTTCGATTTTTGGGTTGACTACAGCGCCTGGTGCGGACCATCCGGATTCCGGGCGCTCTGAGAATCCTACGCGAGTGGGACGTGAAAGAATTCTGAAGAAGTTGCAGTGAGTTACTCTTTACGTTGACGATTCAATATTATATATATATATATATATATAGGTAGTGTTGACGATGAAGAGGTCATATGGAAAATATTACCAAGCGATTTTAATGCAGAAAGTTGTACATATAAATGTGATAAACCAATGAAGTGTTTTATGTAACCTAGAAGGTTGGCAAATATGCTATTTACATCAGGCTGACTGTAAAAAGTAGCCACCTTCCACATGATATATACATATATATATTGCTCCGAAAATTCAAATCAACTCGAAGTGTTAGATTTCCAGCTGTCAACCGCAGTCCAGTTGTCCGTAATCGCGGTGGTTGGCAAACTGATTCTGTTTCCCATGCATTGCGTATCGACTCACCTGAGGTTTAGGTCACGAAAAATGTCAGCTGTCACGATGGACGATCAAGCGCATTTCAAAATTAAATTTTTTGAAGAAATGACGAAACGTACTGTTCAGAGGAGGGAACTAATGAACTAAGTTCATTAATTCATCTCTCAAATGATTGTTGCATGCAACACAAAGCTTCGGGTGATTAGTGAAGCGTCGGTCCAGTTCTCTGCACTCAGTTGTTTGGGCTCAGTCGATCTGCCTATCATGGAATTTANCCCTACACTTATGCTTTGGTTAGTCTTTTCTTGTCTTTGATTGTCCATTTACATGGATTTATCTTCTCAACGCGCTATTTAAGTCAGTGAATCATGAAAATAATTGAAATCCTAACACTTCATAACTTTTGTCTTCTTACGGCCTAAATGCAGTAAATAAAGAAATGGAAAATGTTAAGTATACATTACCATTAACCTACTTTCACATAGGGGGATCAATAAGTAAGTAGCACTGAAGACAAGAATGCAAACTATTTAATTCTTCAAATGAAAATTTGGGACAGTGATTTCCCAGTTGTTCGGTATCATTTCCAGTTCCAGTCCCTCGGCATTACTGTGGATCAAAACCGGGACTTCTACGGGTTCCATCGACTAAACTGATTCACGTGGCATAACAGGATCACATTCTTTGTGTATCACTATTTTTCGCCATTGAATAATTTGTTCTGAATCAGCCGGGATATAATTGCTGCTTATGAAGCTTTATCTTTTATCTTTGGTTTAATTGATAAACGCAAACCACTGGCATTATCAGCCAAATAAAAAGTGTGAATGAGGTGTTCATTAGTTTGGTTTTATTTTTTAAATGAAGAATTCCTAGTACTATTTGTACATGTAAGTATGAAAGTTTTTGTCTTTCTTGCACTCTGGCCAACTTCACGTTTTTCTGTTGAATATTACCGGTCGGTTTTCGCGAAGGGAAGAGCTGAAACAACTAGAGACTCAAGCAACCGAGTTGCGCGCTAGTCTCAACGAAACAGCACCCAGGCTGGTGGTTTTGAATCCCTTGGAAGTGACACACACGTTCCAACTGGACCCAAACTTATCAGCGTACGTATTGCGTATTGAGTGCATCGCACCGATCGACCATATATTGGTGCAATCGGACTGTCCCGTCGACCTATTGGACGTGGTCGAGAATTTGGCCATCAAAAGCGTCATGCCTTCCAACCCAAATGTAAGTCGATGGGCCACTAAAAACGCTTGAAGGGAGAGACGTGATACTTTTCGGCATACGGGTACGTTTTTAATGCATTGCATAAAGGTAATCCTGATGATTTGATATGGAAGTAAATTGAGATGTGGTAAGCAGAAGGTGGCACCAGATTTAAATAGAACCGGATAGTCTTGAATACGAAGATATAGATCTCCAGCCTGAAAAGAGACATTGAGTTGAACTACACCGGTTACGTCGTTCTAATCTCTAAAATCATATTTCCTCTACGAATACTGCTGGTTCATTATCTGGCGACTGGAGGGGGACAGTATGGTATGGGATGAACTTTGCACCTGTAAAAATGCAAACTACCCACTCAAGACTGGCTGTAACTTCTCTTAATCGGGTTGAGCGACAGCTTGTAATCATCAGCAACCTTATATCGGAAGGCGTATCGTACCTGGTGGTGGATTATAGAAGGCACGCCTGGCCTTCTCCAGTTGAAGTCATCTGTGTCACTGTCATGACATGAATCAAGCACTAAAAGGTCTGGGGTAGATGGCAATAGTATGTGCAGAGTTAATTTGTTCCAGAAATCTGGCGAGTTCATGCTAAAGACGTCCATTAAATGCTATCTTTGTATAGTTCCTAGTGTTTGGTACAAGCAGCCAGTGGGAAATAACCAAGTTGGCTGAGTTCTAGACCATGGTGGCTCTCCCTCAAAATTGTCATCTCGTTACACCGTATTCGATGACTGCGGTACATTTTGAAACCGTCAATCCAGCGATTGCCACTAGGTACCCTATCCATGTGCGTCGGGCACAGTTAAAAGGAAGCGCATGGAAGCCGGGTTGGAAATAAAGTAGCTTGCAAAGACTATCTCTTATAGCCCCATCCCCACTTCCGGATTGACTCTCAGCGTCCTGAGTACATATGTTTGGAAACCCTGAGAGTCACGGCCCATGAATGGGTACAATGATGGAGCTATTCAACCTTCGATTGTCGAAAGTCTGAAAAACTTCAGAATAACATGATAAGAAAACATAAGAATCACTTTTACTTTAGTATGTACACAGTTCTCTTGCTGTTGTGCCCTTGAACATGTTTTACTCCATTTACTATACACATATATCATGATTTATTTGAAAAACAATCCTGTATATATGTAAAAAGGTACAGAATTAAAAACATTCGTGATTCAAATGTGAAAAGATGAGTGCTATCGGTGTGGCCTCGTGGCTCAGCTGGTAGAGCGAGCGTTGTAAAAAGGCGTAGGCGGCGTCTATACTTGGGTTCGAAGTCCCATCGAGGCTACTGAACTTTTCACAATCCCGACATATTCGTACCTACAAATCTTGGACATATTTCCCCACTGAATATAGAGTATTTTTACATGATCAGGAGTCCGACAAGTGTGAAAATGTACTGTCTGAATTGCTTAAGTTTAACTTCTCTTTGAAAGTGAATAGAAATGAGTAGGAGTTGATTTAAAACAAGAGATAAATTGGGAATTCATAGTAATTAGCACTCGTCAGATGTCTTTTTTAATGATAGAGCCCGTCACTAGTGTAACGCAAACTTGAATCCATATGTGATAAGTATTAATCACTGGGAGAACTATCGAATATCAGCGCGAATAAGCAAAAAGTTGGCACTAGATCAATCTTTCCCAAAATCTCATTTGACATCTTCCCTTGTAGAAAACCTTTTTATCGATTTTCTTTCCCACACGATTGCAGGCATGTTTTGTGATGGAGCAATGAGGTAGTAAACTGATGAGCATGCGTTTTTTGATCAGTTTCAAAGAACAGATTGATTGTTTTTAGGTTACCTCTGCATCCGACACGTGCACCTTGTTCGGCCGGAAGTGTTCTACTTCTACTTTTTATATTTCCTGTGCCATTAAGTAAAGCTTTTATTGCGTATAATTCTGAATAATGTTTTACTAAACTTGACGAAAAAATTCAACACATCGAGGTATTTCCTGAAAGATAGGCGTCCTGAACTGGTTCCAATAATCTGGAAAAGATCGATATTTAGGACCTTTTTCGTACAGGTTTCAAATGCTCTTTTTTCGTCACAACGGCCAACGGGACTTCCGATAAAAAGCATGTCTTTACTGCGTGGAATAACTGCTAAATGCCTTTTGGATAGCTCCAGTTAGTGGTTCTCGGGCTGTACCAGAATTGGCTTCTGAAAATAAGTGCATCATTCTGTTAGTGTGGGATATTTTTAATAAATGCTCACACATTTTTATAGTATAAAGTGGAAGGAGAAGTCTCAACTAATGTCAGTCGCTGTTTACACTCACATGATCTTGAGACGGTTATTATTATGTGAAAATCGTTAAACGTTCTTATCCAACACACTTCATTACGATTTCCGCATCCACAATTGTGTTTGAGATTTTGTGCGTAGACAAAAAAAACAGGCGTATTCTGCATGATAGTGCATGGTTAATGGTTGTGAAAACTGAACTGAACTGATTCTGAACAGTGGTTAATCCCTATAAAACTGCACTAAAAGGAAAAAGAACATCAGTTCGATGATTGCTTACTTCTTAGGCAAAACTTAATTTTTTCTCACTTTTACTTAATCTATTCTTCGGATACAAAGGAAATAACCTTAGAACTATCGCTTGTGATTCCATAGGCTCCTGAAATAGTTGACTCTGGCTTGCACTCTATGGATATCTACAAGGAAATTAGGGCTGTTCTTCATTGACCTTTTCATCTTGCTCATGTGATTAGGCATTTTTTGCACCTAATGATGATGAGAACTTGGTTGTAGCATCTACTTCCAAAAAAAGTAGTTTATCCATTAAAATCCGTTTGTATCAGAAGGGCCATCAAATGGGCTTATTCCGCACATCAAACTCGCCTTTTGACTAACCGACAAAATTAACCAGTTGATTCTATGCACTTTGTCGACCAGTTTCTGACATCGCCAATTATTGTGGCCCATCTGTTCTTTATAGGGAGATGAGAATTCCCTCCTGGCAACATATCGCTGTCAAGCGAATATAAATCGAATGGAATTACGTTTACGTACGACTGAAGGAAAATACGGGACACTTTCTGTTTATGTGGTGCCAAGCGGACAAATGCCTTGCGCATGCAGTCGTCTTCAGGTTCCCATTTGGCCTCTGGCATTGCACCGAAGAATACACGAGTTCACCACAGAAGGGTGAGTCAAAATGCTTTTTTTGTCATGTATGCACAAGACAAACTTAAACAAAAATATCAAACAGACAAATGTGCACAATGAAACAAACAAACTAGACATTGTTATTCTTGTTATGCTAATCCACAGTAACTGTTTGATCTCCATATCTGTACCCCGATCCCCCTTCTTCTGTTATTATTGTTGTTGTGTTGGCACCATGCTAGTTGGCAAGCCGGGGATAAATGTATGCACATGGGTTGCCTAAATTAGGCAAGCTACTGACACCGGACACAACAGTGAACAGAAAGAATGAAAACTAGCTGCACACTGTGAGGAATTACGATAACGTGACGAAACGGGGGTACTTAGTTTAGAGTTTTGCACGGTAATTATCTTTTGCTATTTGCTTTTAATCTGTTTTTAGTGAAGTGTCAACTTAGGCCGTAGCTCATCCGTATGGAATCGCACGTGCCTGGTCGATCTTGTTAAACGTACATAAAAACAATTTTTACCAACTTTTTGTTGAAAAGAAAAAAAAGCGGCTTCAGCTTCATCCCATCTCAGAAGTTAATTGATTATTCTGTTGGTGACTTTACCTCCATAGCACAGTTGTACTTAAAATCAGACGATTTCACCAGCCATCTTATTGCAGTCTTCTTATTCGGGATTCATGTAATCCCCCTCCCCCGTCAGATCAGATTCAGGATCCTATTCGTGTTTAACTCCGTTGTGTTTAAATATCAGATCCTTTTTATATCAATCTATGAACACTGTCAAATGTCAATCATCAGAACAAAATAGCCGATAAATCATTTCTTGTCCATTGAATTTCGGGCTTAATGTAAGTTGCCTACAATGGTTAAAATTCAGTAGGAACTAACGGAATGTACGAACGTGAGTAATATGTATGTAGCTGGGAATACTGGTTGTCGTCATAACTTTTAAAACAAGCACCCGAGAATACTGGAGATGGTACTGCTAACTTGAAGACCATGATGATAATATTTATCCCTTGAATGCTGAATCAAACCGATTCAAACTCACTTGTCTGTTAAGACTAGTCTATTTGGGCATTGTGATTGTCAATATTAGTTGGCTTTTTTGGATGTTCCGTATTAAAGAAATGGATGTTTCAGGATCAAAGAACAATTGCTCAGCGTTGATCAGGATTTTTGTCAATAATTCTCTAGAACCAGAGTTTTTATAATATACGGAACAGCAAAATACTTTCTCTGCCCCAGTCTGAAAAATCGTGAATCCTACACTAAAGCCATTTGTTTTAATTGCTGTTGTTCGGCCGTCAATCTGATCAATCAGCCGAGAGAACCATAAGAACAGACAATGATTTGAGTTTGTTCCCAGGGCACCGAGATCGAATAAAAGTAAATTCTATGTGTAAGAAATGTGAGTACAAGCCCTTGTGAATAAAAGTTTCAATAAAGATCACTACTCCCTGCTTGGCCTCAATTTGTTTCATCCCCGCTTTTTCAGACCAGTGAATCAGTTGAAATTGGAAGGAAAATTCTCTTTGGCTGAAATGCACCAATGGATCGTATTCTGTTTACCCGATGCCCCTGAAAGACCACCAATCTACCATGGTGATAATGCGGATTCCGCAGAGCGAGCCCAATTGGTGTACGAGTGCACATTTCTACCCAGTCAACTCGAATGCAGCTATCAGCGCAATCGTGCGCTGTTCCGTTCGGACAATCTTTGCACTATATCCATCCTCAAGGACGTGCTCACCAAGGAAGCCACAAAACGGAAAATTCATTTTATCATGGATTTAGGTAAACAACTAGCTTTTATGATTAAAATGCTTGTGGCTTGGTTAATGTGAAATTTTCTCTTATATCTATATTTCATGGTTTTGTAGATCTCACTAACCATGTACAACCCTCCCAATGCAGAAGACTTGGTGGGCTTACATAACATGCCGGAACACCGCCTCTCCGTACTTGACGAACGAGTACGCAGTGTGGGAGGAATTTGTGCGTACACTCAGATCCCACTAAGGTCCTTGGTATTCTCAAAAATGAAATACATGCCAACAACTGTTTGTATGATATAATAAAATGACGCGCGACCTCTTGGGTTTCATTGACATCTGCAATATTCATACTATGGAATGTTGAACAGATATTGTACATCTATCACTCCTTGTCTATACTCTTTCATCTCCGATTATCTAGACATACATCCGGATAGTGTGGAATACACACTGCGAACTATTCATCCCCGGTTGGAGTCACTCCTGTTGCTGGGCCGTAAAGTGCATCTGATCAAACCACTTCAAGAATTGGTCGCAAGTGAAACACAAGGCACACAGCAAACCGGGGACACATCTGCTCGATTCGGTAGAGAAGAGAATCCACTTCCAAACAGTCTACCGGCTGACTGTGCCGCTATCTGGCGTGATGCCACTCAACTACAGAAGGCTTTTGAAGATCAATCCTGCATATTAGACAGATTATACGGTAAATGATGTTAAATTATTCTCTCATCTCCCCGGTTTTTTACTTCTCGCATTAAATTTAGCTCGATCTTTTTCATAAGTTCCAGCATAGATGTGAAATTCTTTAAGCAATTTTACGACAGGGTTATTAACCCACGGGTCTACCGTGGGGTACAATTGTCAAGCATTTTTTGATTACTATGGAAACCAAGATGTCAATTTGAGAGGTTAAATAGATAACACAGCAGCACAGTGTTGCATAATTTGTTTTCGGGAAAATTTTGCAGTATCTCTTTAGGCACATAATAAGACCTAACAAGTTGCAGTTCGCGTGAATGAGCTGTTGGTGTTAAGTTTGCCCATCTTTTGCGTACAAAAGTACAGAATTGAACGTCTGAAGGTGTAGAGTGACCGATATCCGTGCCGAAGTGTAATTTTAGCCCTGTATTGTCAAAAGATGGACATATTTTGTTACTAACAGCTCATCCACGGTAATTGCAACCTGTTAGTTCTCACTATATTTTTCGACTATGGCATGCACCCAAGGAAATGCAGCGAAACTTTTCCGGAAATAATTTGTGCTGCTGGATTCTTTATTCAAGTTTATATCGGAAAAAGGTGTTTCAAATTGAGAGATGCTCTAACGAACATCGATTGTGTGCTATGCAATTTCCGAGCTGTTGCTCTGTTGGCACTATACTTGCTCACAAGCCGGTCATTATATATATATATATATATATATATGAAACGAAATAGTAAAACATTTTACACTTAAAAATCTGCTACTGATTGGGTCTCCGTAGTTTTTTATGTCAATGCAATGAGTATTACTCGTCAGAATGCCAAGGAAATTGGCAAACTTTCTTCGAAATTAATGATCTGCTGGGCCATTCATACATCATATAATGTCAGCCAATCGCAAATTCCCAAAGTCCCTTAAGGCATATTTTGCTGCACAATGACTCAGGAGATAATGAGGAGGTGGTGGAGGAGAAGGAATTGTATCTTGGCGAAGTGTGAAAGATTGCAAAAATATGTGGCATGTACGTCAGGTTTATAAATCTAGTGAATGAATTGATATTCATTAATTATCTTGGAAAATCGATATTCAAATCTTAGTTCATAAAGGTCAGAAAATACTGCAGCTTGTATTTGGGGAGTAAATGATATGAATCTTAACTTAGCTCAACTTTTCCGTCATACCTCTTTGCTTCATTATTACAGGTTGCGTTATCGACTTGTACATTGACAAATATCGATTCAAAGGTGTGGATATCAAGTCCCGAGTTCCTGCATTGTTTGACCTGCTCAATAATTATGATTTTGAAAAGGTTTTGCAATATTTTGATGAGGTGTAATTATTTCCCCGAAATATTACCATAATAAACCAGTTTTGTTAATATCCCCCTTTTTTCATATTTAAAATTAGCCACATTCAAAAATGTTTTCTTTATTAACCCATTGGAGGAAAAATCATATAACGGGTGCAAGTATAAGAAGGACTCAAGAGATTAGTACAGAATATGTATACCTGATAAATGGCAAGAAAGACGAAACCGACCGTGTGCTTCCTAGAATGTTTTTCCCCATACTACTGGCAATAGAATTATCAAATATCGACCCTTACCGTCAAGCTTCCTTCGGTTAGACGCCTCTGATTCACATAATTATGGTAAGAACTTTTGGAGATTGACTGGGCCCAGAATAACTCACTGAGATGCAGGCAAAGTTGTCGAGAAACTATTTGAATGATTCCTCACATCGAGTTCGCACGTAAATTTTCGCGGATTTCAGTCGTAAGAGGTTCATCTAATGGAACCTTTAACATGATCGCGTTCTTTTTATCTGAAGCATTGGACTCACAAACTAACATTCCACAATCAGATAAATCGTAAAACATGGACAGGTTCTTTCACACAGAATATGTCACCCCAAAATGTTCATGGCGCTATTAACTGCTATTCTGATTTGTATGAATAAATATGTGATTGAATACACCGCATGGTACCATTCAAACCGCAACAGGAATATATGAAATGAATTTGGGTGAGAAAGGCTGTCTGTTCAGTGGTACGGAATTGCGCAGAGATATTTTACAGAAGGAAGATAAGAACAAACTATTTTTGTTAGAATACCCCTGTCTGGGACGCTCTACTCAAGTCTGGTAGGGGCACCGCACAAGTAAACCGAGTTCTAGGTAATTACTGACGCAAATACTGGGATGTATGTTACGCAAATCACATGCCAGATTTCATCGGTGTGCAATGCTTATCGATGCAGGCAGCCGTTTGAGCAAAGCCAGTAGTGGTCAAACAATAACGTCGCATAAGTGAATGGAAACCCTGACCGGGCCGGGGTGCATGGATTGCATTGAGCTTCCTGGTTTGGCACCGTTTGACGAAATGAGCCATCATTTTCAGGTTATTCAACCATGAATCATGCACTGTCATATGGTAGTTTGGGATGCTACCCAGTTCCGTGAAGAATTGGGGATAAGAACTAGAATACTGGAAGCAATATCAATGTGAAGATAGATAGTTCAGGTAGGCTGATGTGGCGAAAAGTTTGAGTAGATGCACAATTGCCACAGTTTCCAACACAGACTTATGGCTGAGTTTCTAACTCTCGATAACAGTAGTATTGAGGTCACAAACAGGTATCCCATCGCTCCCTATATGACTGAGTTCCTTGATCAAGACTCCCAAACCCGAGGTTTCAGTTTAAATACTCTTAACCCTTTTCCACTTGCTACCCACCTAGGCAAACTTCCGATTCGAGGAAGCCTACTGGGGGACATACGTAACACGCCTCAGTTAGTGTAATTTGTGAAGGTTAAGTGATTGCTCCAGTACACCATTGCAATTAGGAATATTTTTGCGCCTAACACTGATACTAATTTTCCGGTTACTTCAGCAGACTTCACATTTAACGGACAACTGAATATGGCCGTTCAAAAGGTATATTAGGTTAGAGAAGCCAACCAACCCTTCTGTATGTGTGCTGACACTTCGTCTGTGATACACCCATTGGGTGAGATGTAGTTTTCTCTCCTAGCTGTTCGCATTTCAAATTTTACAACTTTTTACAGTTGGAAGGTACAAAACGCATGCCAACCATAGCTACACTACCACTCACATTATCTAGAAAAGCCTTCAACTCAGTTTCAGTCCCACTCAGCAGTGCAGAATTGTCTGCATCACCAAATAAGATATCCTGCCACCCGGGAGCGTATCGATATTACTATTCTCACAGGAGGGTAAAGCCATTTTCAGAATCAAATTACTTACAGTGTAAACAGGAAAAGAGAGGAGATAACCCTGATTACCACCGCCTTCCGTGTTGAACTCGGGGGTAAAATAGCGAGCAGGTGGAACTCCGGTTCGGATATAAGTAAAAAGGGTGGTTCTGTGTCAGCATTCCTGCACATTCAGCACACGTTTTCTTGCACTTCGCATTCTCATCTTAAAAATGCACTCGTTATTTTAAGTTTTCATTGTGTACCCGAAAAACAACAGCGAACGTTGTCGTCCCTCAACTCGATGAATTTGTAAACTGATCCGAAACTGTATTAGACTAATCGCTGTTTATAGACGTCCGTGGTCTATGGTTGCCTCTACTATTCGTTGTCACATTGCTCAGTGCATAGTTGACAATTTCACTGTTCACCATCGACATCAGCTAGTGCAACTGCATGCGGATAATCCCCCGACCCTCACTTCCACCATGCACATCTTGATCGTAGTCATTTGAGAACGAAATTCGCTTTGACTCTGAATTTAGCCCAAAAGTGTTCAAAGCTGAATCTCAGTTCCGCCGCTTTATAAAGATTTACCGAAAAAAAGAGAAGAGCGGCAGCAGCAGAATGGCGCAATGATTTTAGATGTTGCGTTCTACTCAAATCAGCTATATACAAAATTTAGCACAATAAAGGAGAAATGAATAGTAGTAATAAGTCAGTTGTTGTGCACAGAATGTGCGTTGTGTGTGCATGCACGTGCGTGTTCCGCTGTTGATCTTGTTTTCAATTGACTGTGAAATGGTTCACACACACGCAATTCGCTCGGGATTCCGGTACAGATTGAGCGAATCGGAATAGGTAAGATACAGGATAACTACGTGGAACTTGTATTTTCCCGCACAGTGGTGTTATAAGACCGCATAAGTAAAGTTCCGTATATTCTACTAGTTCAGTCGTATGCACATTTGATAGTGGCACATCAGTGACTCATCTGTAAACACTTTTCTAGTGGTCTGTTGCGACGGATGACAATTCATTGGGCACATTTGGTTTTAAATGAACATTTCCATAAACAGCACTCCCCAGTGATACGTTATCAATAGGGGACGAGAAGAAGGATGCTTTAGGTGGGACTTGCATAGGCCAATTGTCACTTGGATTACCTGGTAGCCATGTGGAATGAGTAAGGAAGTAGGCAGCGTGTGGTAGGTCTCTTTCACTGACTTGATTTTCCACTGGCAACGGAAGATAGGATAAAGGAGGTAACATTTCAAGATTATTATCACATTGTGAATGCTGGAATGCCATTGTGAATGCTTCATTGTTAAGTGGGCTATCAGAATGAGTGCCAGTGGTCAACTGAGGCGTTGTGTTGTTACGCACATCTGGTTCAGAACAACCGAATGATGTAGTCGGTGTAGATTGCGAAAGGAAAGTGGTTTTTGATTCATTATTATTGCTATTCACCTGTTGAAAAGAATCTCCAGTTATTAAGTGGTCGTATGGAACTGGCGGTGCGTGTAATCCTACAACTTGTGTTTCATTTCTGGACTCGATTGGAGCGTATTCGAATGACGAACGTACTTCTTCTGCTGTGGTTTGATTCGGAGTTGAATGTAGATAGCCCGTTTGGGACATGGAAGCAATCGATTCACCTGCGGTATCCATCGTCAACCACGGACTTCGGACTGGACTGATTGGAGAGGCTATTCTGTGACCTGTGTTTACCGAACCATTCCCGTTATGACCGGTGGGAGAGGACGTGCTTTGATTCAATGAACGAGAGAGCTGTGAAGATTCTGTGCTGCTTTGTTGTGATCCACTCGTTTCGGATTGTCCACATTGTGGCATGATGGAAGTTGAATTAGGTGTATTCCAATAGAATGCATTCAGTTCCGGGCACCCAGAATAGTCTGTCACATGTATTTTGTCCAAAGCACCGGGGATGACAGTTGTGGATTTTTCAACCGCAGGAAGATGCATATCGCTGGGACACAGCTGAATCGAGTCCGGACAGACTTCTTGGCGTGATAACTCACGCGGACTAATTATTCGACGCATTGCCGGTGTGGAACTGCATGTGCTACTTCGATCAACTTCAGAATATAGGTCGTTCTTTCCGTCCTCGTTTTCTGAATCATTTTGCGAGTCCAACATGTTTGATCGAAACTCGAACAGGTCCTGTTAGAATAGAATTGAGACCAAAGGGATCACACTAAACATTAATTGTCACGCCAAGAGAGTGCAGAATGTGGCATTCTACCACTAAATACAATGTTTGTATTTCGGTTCCATTCAAAGCACATATTTGAAATAGGTGTTGGTTTCTGTTCAGTTGCTTTAGCTGCAGTTTTGTTGATGTATGAACAGAAATGCAAATACACCCACATCAACCACAGTCATTCTATTGACAGCGATCCCTGTCTGTGTTGAAAAATATGGCTTATAGACACAGAAGTACTTCACAATCTCTGGATCTAGAGCTTGTAGTTAGTGGTTGAACGGCACCAAAATTGACCAATCCTGTTAAGGGAAACCTCTTCCACTACTCACTTAGTCAATTTTTTATTACGCTTTGCTTGTTGATGTATATAAGAAGATACAAATCTCACGTTCGTGATGCTCTACTACTCCGTTGTGTAAAGTGGACTTGGAGTGACGAGCCATATAAGTTCTCAATGCAATAAATGTGAGAGTTGAATGACAATCATGCTCGCACTACATAGACTGGTTTGAACCAGTCGTTTTCCTTTATTTATTTGATACATGACTGACAGTTATGGAAAAGTAGTGGTAGGAGAAAAAATATACCGGTTTTTACTCATCGTCCTGAAGGATGCAACTTCACGCTCACAATTCTCTGCATGTTCAGCCATTCATATCCTCAAGAAGGAGTACAGTCAATCTTGGCTCTTGCTACAAGTAATCAGCAATACGATCCCGATGGATCTGTTCGGAACTTTAACTTTTGTGCTCCCCGAACGGAAGGCATGTTTTTTACCACTCCGCCAACCAGCTCACATTGGAACTGCTCGCATTTGTTGATTCTAGTTTGTTCTCCGATTGACTGCTGTGTTTATCATACCGCAAAACAATTTACCGTGGATGATCGTCCATCTTGCTCTCTTTCGCAAGTTGTTTTGATAGTGGCTATCCGCTGCCGGACAATGCTGAAAATACTTTGCCCATTGTCTCAATCTGCGTGCCGTCAATTCGACTGGCATATGAAATCTCTTCAGTTGACGAGCAGAGCTTCTCATTTGGCTTAAAGAATACCATGGCTAGAAAATCGGCGAAAAACTGCCTTGGAACCTTTAAAATGAATGTCGGGTTTACAAAGGTGTCATTTTCGCATTTCGTTACTGTCCTAAAAATCTTACCCTCACACTTATAAATGTTCTGCTTGCACATAAAGCTTCCTGCCGAATCATCAATCTTTCGAATTACTCATGACTTTTTTCAATTCCAGCTGATTTGATAGATATTATTTATTCGCAATACATCTCTGAGTTTTTGTTTCTTATTTTGAGATCTACTGTGATGCTGGTTTTGGAGTAAGTTTGCCACAAGTTATTGAACAAGTCTACTGGTCCCCAATATGACGTTATTTCTCCAGCATGTGACTCTTTCAGATAAGTTGCATTTAATAGACGAAATTTTCTAATTTCAACGAACAAATTGTATCTATGCTCATCTGTCCCTAGAAGATAATATTAAATTTATTTCTTAAAAATGCAAGACCATATCGCCAGACCAAAACAGGTAGTTTCCCAGTGGCATCAGAACCACTACCACAGGTCCTCAGTGAGAAGAACTTGAAGACTCCATCGTCCTCAATTCTAAGCCCATCAGTTTACTCAACCATCTATTTGGGTCGGTTTAACTCACAATTGTTCCCACATCTCTTATCAGTGCATATGCAGTCGTATACGAAGTGCATTATTCGAAACTGAAACCCGTGACTCTAACACGACTGAAAGATTTTGGGACATTCACTAAGGACAGCTAAAAGGTCATCAGTAGGTTGCATTCCAATATCTGCTTGATGAACTAGCATTCATCATGGCTGTATTCCACTCGGAATGGCGAAGTTCAAGGACCATTGATTTTTGTGCATCAAACATCGCAGAATAGTAAGTACTCATGTGGTCTACTAATCATAACATTCCCCTAAGGTGGTACACAAAAATTGGAATGTCTGTTCCGTTCCTTTTCTGTCAGAATGTTAGGAACTCGAAACGCTCTCATCTCACGTTGTCCGTGCATCAGGAACTAAACATTTAAAACTAATCCTTGATGACACTGATTTTCATCATATTACAATACTCGGGAACCCAGGTAAAACAGGGGTAGAAGGTTACATTGCGTGGTATTTTTATAAGGAGAATGATTTATGGCGTTTGCCTTTTTGGTCGGTTTACGTACAGGAATCCATGGCGGTGCTAGAAAAACATCAGCTTGTAAGTAATTCCCGCAATAAAATTTGGACTTAGTAGAAAAGGTTCTATCGCCAAAGGAATGATGTGAGCTATTTTATATAAGGTTTACTTAACGAGAATAGGCAAAGGGATGTTGTTTTGCATGGATACATCATCGAATTTTTCGAATGTTGTTTGAAGATCATTTCACTATTTTTTCCGTTATTGTTCGACAAATTGACTAGTGCGGATTTTTGACTCGAATGAATGTCTTAAGAAAAATCCTTCCTTAGTCTTATAGTTTATGAAGTGAATATACACTTCTGGATGCTCATTAAATCCATGGAGGAGTGTTCGAATGAATTTCCGGCCGTTCGTTTCAAATTGGCATAAGCTAAATCAACCGTAGTCTCTGAAGCCCACTCATTAAAAGTTTAAAGAAATCTTTTGAACCATCTAAATAGATGAACATTGCGTTTGTCCACCAAAGTACCAATTTGTGAATTACCGAATAATTGGTCGATTGGTAAAGCTTGCATAAACAGTTGTTCTTTATTACTGGTTCACGTTCCCTGCAAAATGAAAAATGGGTTCACTTACCCCTATCCAATTAGTCACTAGTTATGATGCAGCGGAAATCATTCAAGGTTTACCCCGACAAAATTGCGATATCGTCTTTTCTGTTCACGTTAGTATCTGAAAAGACCTACTGTTGATCGGTCAATTGATTGATTGACGGATGACTAGAGTCGAGATGATACAGTGATTCAGTATGATTCAATTCAGTGATTCAACGTGGTACTAATGCATTCAATTTGTGATAACAAAAACCAGTCAAATTACCGTGTGGTCACTTTTGACGGGAGCAGTTGGTGTACTTACCTCAAGCTGCTTGCTCATTCCATCTGAATCTGGCTTGCAGTTCATAGAGTTTGATAGGAGGGATACATCATGACCTTGATTTATGAGCTTTTTGAATTTGGAGCGCCGATTTTGAAACCATATTTTCACCTGGTAAACAATAGGGGTAGAAATGGTTGCCGTTTGAAAGTGATAATCTGTTTCTAACTACTAATGAGTAGGTACAATTACATCTCTTACCAAATGCGTCTTTATTCCATCCGCGAAATTTCATCTATCCTAGGAAAGCAGGTTTTTCAAAGATGGATAGTAGATATATTTCTATAATTGCGCTGGTGTTTTTATCCACGCACTTGCTGAAAAATTCTTAAAGTAGAAGAAAAAATATTCTTGTCTGGTTGAGAAGCGTGTGTGAGAGAGAGGGTGGGGAGAGAGTGGACGATACAAAAGCGACCTCGGTTTAGAAACTCTCCATATTCCTTCTCCGCCCTGAACAGGTTCACGCAAGAACACGTGTGTGCATGTGCGCGTGGCTGTGTGTGTGTGTCGATGAGGTAGAGAGCAAGAAGAACTAAAGTGAACGAAACAAATGAAATCAGGTGTAAGACAGAACGTAATTCAAACCAACATTTTCCATGCCAGCGCACAAATCACGGAAACCATGCGCATCAGGTTGCGCAGTTAGCGGAAGTCAAACTTCAATTCGAAATGCGTTCAGTTGTAAAAATGTGTGTATGCGTGTGTACGCGAGCGTTGATGCGCTCGCTAGTCGACGCATCAGACCGTGAGAAAGTTGTGTGCCAAAACAAAACCCAACATTCGTGCATCTGTGTGGCATTATTATACAAAACGAGAAAAAGCAGATGAGATTCTGGTCTGTTTCGAACTTACTTTCTCTTCCGCGATAGCGATAGTGGTGAGGCAAAAACTTATACTATTTTTACTCCATTAAACAAAAAATCCATTTCCATGAGGCAAGTTTTTCCAAATGCACAAGAGTTTCATCTGAACAAGGGGCATATAAATCGTTCGGTTCAACAAAGATTGTTGTGCAGATCTAATTTGTCAAAAGTAGGGAATAAAGAAGAAACATGTTAATGGAATTTTCATTGCAACATATTCTTCGCAATTGGACTGTTCTTCTGAATACACATTTGAGTTGACTTCGAACAACCAGATGAAAATTTGCTCTAGTATGGAGTAGTTAAGTACGGTTCCAGCTTGTTTCGGTGAATATTTAAAGAAGGAAAAAAAGAAAACTGGACAGTTATTTTCTGTCCATCATTTACCGATTCACTGGAATTGTTGTTAATGGTTAAGTACTGTAGACTACTATTACATAACCCCAGAGGTAGTATCGTCAAATCCCATCACTACTGATGCCCAACGTTTCCGTTATTGTTGGCTCCTGATAGCCCTTAAATTGACTCTTTCTGCTTCCCTGAAACTCGATTATCAGATTGTCTATTCAATCAAAGAAAGCTAAAAGATCAATATTTTATCACCATCATTGCTGGTATGTGTAGCTCTTATTTTTGAAGATTTATATGTTTGAATGTAAGTGACTATAATATGGAGTAGGGCTGAACTGCGCTGTAACAGTTGAAATTACGATCAGATATTGGAACATCCAACAGAAGGAAACCATACACTTACTACACTGCAGACCATAATATATGAAGAAAAATCATTCTAATAAATTCTAATAATAATAAAGGGATTTGACTATCGTCTGGAATGTTTGCGGTTCGAGTATGGACAGGTTCCCAAGATAGACATCGTTGATGAACCCAATAATGGTTGAAACAGCTGCCTAATGATCTTGGTCGATCATCACTTGGTGTTTTCCATCACACATTAAAGTTTAGGAAAATTTAAGACCTGGAAGCAAGTCATTTCTGAGTGAATTCAATCAATGTTTCGATTTCTGATTTATCGCAAACGGCAAGTGCATCGATTCTCTTTCTCTAGAACACAAATAAATTCCATCTGTACACATGACCTCCATCATCATTTACGTGCGGACTCTTGGTTTACCCTTTAAATATAAATTCATCCGAAGTAAGCCCTGTCCTCAATGTGCGGATACATCCATATGCGTCGAGAAAATGGAACCGATCGACAGTCTTCCGGTGTGCCATACTTCAAAGAAGCATAATTTTCGGCGGCTGCGGTGCCAGAGTAGGGGGAGGGAGCCGTTTAAACTTGTTGACTGAAAGGGCAGTTGCGCAAAACGGCCACGTGTCATTAATTATTTCTCACAGAAACGACCCCTTCCCTCCTCCGTCCCTTCATCCTTGTACATAGGCGTGTGCGTACGCAACATACGTAAGCGGGTGCACACACACATGTATATGCAATATTTTATGTACACCAACCTTCCTCCATTCATCAACACTCACCGTCTCCTCCGGCGGCTCTCTGCCGTCTGAAAACAACATCCCTAAACGGACCGGAAGTGAGTGAGTGTGCGTGGATGAATGTGTGTTGGCAGATGGGAGACTCGTTCAAGCGTGATTTGGTCGGTTTCAATGACCACACTGTCCCTCTCTAAGCTCACAGTTACAGTTCCTTGTCTGCTAGTGAACTCAACTCGTCCGTCTATCCCGAGACAGGTAACCGCAAGTTGGGCACCGACAACAATATCTGAGTCGGACCTGAGCATTTAGTTAACAGTTTCCGAACGTCAATAAAATATGGAAATTACATGACTGTCATTTGGTCCTGAAGTGAAGCGGCTTTGATACTCCTTGTCTAAACACAACAACTTTCCCCACCTAACTCCCAAAGGGAAACGAAAGGGATAAGAAAATGATACATTTCTTTCCAATCTTATCGGGAATCCATCGGTGACTCAGTATTCCGCATGTAAGATTTGATAACATAGGGTTTGAACAACCTGTGGTATATTCAGCAATAGTGCACTTAATTAACAGGTACGTGGTTAAATGAAAAAGGTCCATAAGGAACAAATCCGAAGTACCCTGTAGTTCTATGGACAAGTAATCCAGGTGAACACGGATTCGACGTTCAACTTTGCAAACTTTTCCCCAGACTGGGGTTTCAACGGCTTTACGAACGATCGAATCCATCGCGAACGTTTTACAAAACCTCTCGTTGATCACCTCGACTAGCACAGTATGGTTCAAACAGCGTCCAAAAGAGCCGTGATCCCGACGCAATGCGCAAAAATGAAGTGCATTTTATTGTGCACGGACGATACTGACCAGTCTGAGCAGTAGCCTAACACGCACGCTCTACTAGGCGGTACTTTCTCCCTGTTTGCCTCAAGTATAAGTGAATTGAGATTGATGGACACAACATATTTTGCTACAACTTTGGGAGCCCCGGTCTTAAGCGAGTTCATGAACTGGCTTATGCAAACATTTTGACCGTCAGTAACTCCTGGTATGTCTTCAATGTAAAAAGAAACCCCAAATATGACCACGTTGGTTTACAGCAGTTTGAAGGCGCCGCGTTTCAAGAGGTGTACGATGATATCAGCTACAAACGATAAGCACTAAAGAAACTGTTTCTTTCATGAATAGCAACAAGGAGAGGAATTATCATCAGAACCCGACTGCGAATTCAAATCTTATCGGAATGGAAATGACCCGTAACGGAATAATTCGCATTTCAAAAATACTTTACCAAAACTTAGGAACAATCGTGATTTATTAAACAATATATAGGCGAATGTTTAACTATTACAAGGCCAACACTGTACAACAGTGAATCTGAAATAGTTTTCACTAAACCGTTCATTATTAAGATTCTTTTCAGTGATGCTATTCATTAAATATAAGTGAAACAATAGGCATATTTCTGATTAGTTATTTTCACAAAATTTTGCCCAATCTTGTCTGACACTCAGAACCATTCATTGAGTAGATGCTCCAAAACTGTGATTGGTACATAGATTAGAGCGCGGAAAGATTTTCAGAAGCTTAAATATGTATGAAAGTGACCTCATTATATCTTGTTTTCTCCAACGCATCCCGGTTTATTGATCTGCACTATACAAAGTCGAATTCATTTTGTTACCCGTCAACGGCCCAGATCCGAATATCATCGAAATGGTTATCAGTTTTGAAGGCAGAGATAGCTACCTCGAGAGTGATCGGTAGAGGTCAGGGTAGGGCATGTTGTGGAAGAAACTGACCGATGCGAATTTACTGTGAAGTTGATCGGATTCATGCCAGAACGGCTATTCCAAGTGCTCAAAACAAAGAATAGTACATGATTTTTTGACAAAATTAAGGTACAGTACCTGCACTATGCCTACGAGTCACTGTTGTTATTAAATTTTCACGACCCTTTTTCTAGTGTTGTTTTGTTATCTTAGTACTAGCTCACCGACAACGTAGTCAGAATTGACAAATCGTAATTTATGAGGCATTCACTTAATAGAAGCAACAATATAGGTCGATATTCTTACAGAAATGTTGTATCTGGTGTAATACTACACGGTAACATCATATGGTAATACCGTATTCATTTCCGTGAAGGAGACTCAAAACGCTAGGCTTTGGAAGGCAGAAATCCAACTCAATTTCATGTAACTTCATTTTAGGTGAACTACGGGGAAAATCGACTTGAAATGATACAATCATTATTCTTCCTTTATAATTCTGTAGGCTCATGGACAAAGATAGATGTGTGGTCCAGCATGCTGTTGTGGTCACCCAGAAACTGAGCATTTTGAAGATGGATATATATATATATATATTGAAACAGATCCTCACAAAAATACTACTTAAGTTATTTTCAATAACTCCAGTAGCGTGACGTAGACAGCCGAGCACTTTTCATTCATCCGGTTCCTAAAATCACTGTTTAGACAAGCATCTTAGTAAAAAGATTGCCCACTGAGATTGGCGAAAGCAGCACAACTCCGAATCGAGGTCACACGTCGGCAGTAAATGAGGATTTACCGCTGAAACCTAAACCTAAAATGATCTTCTGCCAGCACTCCCGTTGGCTTATTGTATTCTGATTAGCGACGTCTAACAGAACGAAAAGAAATTTTTGTTTAAAATATCACATTAGGCATTTATGTATCAAGTTCAGAAATGAAACGGGCCTGTACTAGCATTAGCCGATGACGATTACATGTCAATGATATTTTTCACACCTTGACAAGACACTGGAAGAGTATGATGAGCGAATTCGTAAAAGACCGGCGTAAAAGTAAGTAAAGTAAGTAAGTATGTGGATTTTATATATCATCTTCTGACCATCAACAACAGCAGTGCCGTTATCAATTTACCATACGGAGGTTACTGGAGTAACCACAATGAGAGAAAATATAAAAGCGTGTCACACGATCCACTCAGAAGCGCGTGTATACATGAGCGACACTAACCTGAGTCTGTGTAAGTCCGAGTGATGCTGCCAATTCAGCACGTTCGGGTAGGCTAAGATATTGGGTGAGGTGGAAACGTTTAGCCAGCTGTTGCAGCTGCATGCTGGAGTAGATGGTGCGGGGCTTGCGCAGCTTTTTGCTGCCTTTTGTGTGTTGTGACAACGAGTTAGCCAGTCCTGTATTTCCACCACCGACAGCGCCGCTGCCACCACCACCGTTTCGTGCAGTGTTTTGAACTCTTCCTCGACTTCCTGAGTGGGTTTTAGTGAAGTCCGAGTGAGGCATTGTTTGTCCCGGTGTTGATATTGTCGTCGCTGTTGTTGTTAGGATCATTTTCCCGCACACTCCTAACCCTCCAGACTCTGATGCGCTGTTTAGAATTCGAGTTACAGACCGGGCAGGATCAACGGAAGTGGGGTCATCCGAACGTAGAACACTGCTCCATGGATCACAAACACTTATCTCCAAGGCTGTCGGCTCATCGTTCGAAGGAACTCCAGAGAGATTGGAATTTGGTCTCGAGTTGATTCGACCTTGGTTAGTTGGAATTCCATGATCACCAGACCGTTGTGTCCAACGTGCATCGATTGGTGAGTTACTCACTGTCATCAGGGCATCGTAAGGTGCTGACTGGTTGGATAATGCGTGACTGCCTGGGGTCTGAGCACGATTTGCATAGCGCAATACATTCTGCAAATACGGTGCAGTGGTTTGAGTTTGTTGACCGGAACACAACATTGAGCAAGAATCGTGGCAGGCTGCATACGGGTAGACTCCAACATGTCGCTGCACTGAACTATCCCACTGTATTTGTTCAAATGGAGACGGAGCGGTGATAACCTGGGGGAAACTAATCGGAGAGTTTGAATACAGACTATTCGAAGGGTAGGTTTCATCATAGCCTCGATTAAACGGAACATATCGATGTGTCAGGTCAGAGTATGGTTGATTGCCGTGAATATGGTGAGACGATGTTCCGTGTTGGTCATCTGGTACGCTGTCTGGGGACTGCGATACTGAGAGTGAAGGAGAAAGAAGGGATTTTGTTTCAGAAAATGAAGTAAATCGTCTGTCAAGTCACGGAAGAACTTAAATAATCTCTTTTCTCCTAAACAGTTCATCCCTATATCCCGGCAGAAGGAAATAAAAAGTTGGATTCATAAGTTTCAGGTATTCGCTCATACAGAGTGGATTACCCATTACCCGCATCAAAGTAGGCCTTACACGACTGCACCCACTTATCCATCCCTAGGTGTCTATAACGGGTTATTCTCAGTTTGGCTAGATCAGATCAAGTGATAGCTTGCTCGGAACCTATTTACCTAGACCTTTATGCCTATGGACATGGGACTCTACCATAAATACCGATATCCGGTCTTGGTGTTCAAACTTACACCTATTTTTTACACATCATATCCGTTTTAATTTTCTTAACTGAGGAGTTTGGGCTCATCTGTAAACACTTACTTGACTCCATCCTCGCACGACATCAAGAACAGTAACCCATTCTCACTGGTACTGAAAACATGAGCTCAAGCCTATGGAAATACGGGNACAGGTCTGTTATTAAATGGTTCGCAACAATTGTTCAGGTGGAGTTGATGAAATTCAGATCAACAAATGACTCTGAGTTTTTACCAATCATATGACGGAACTACCCGCGGTAAAACCATCTGTCGTTAAAAAGTAATAAAGTAGCACTCGTTTTATTTACGTTCGATCTCCATCAAAACCCACGGTCAGGGAGAAAGGAGATGTGTTGAGTCAAAAGCATGTGCCATTTGGGCTGATAGATGACCAGGTTCTAGTAGTTTCACACACATACTATGTAAATTGAGATGTCTTAAATGAGCACCCACCGCGAGTGTCTCCACTTCCTCAGACTAGTTTTATCTACGAATTATGTCATTACTGCATTCAGACTCTGTACCCATTCTACATTATTTTTGTTAGAAAAGAAAGTGTAAAAGTTACTGTTTTGTACACAGCGACAGGTAGCCCCGTTGTGGTTCGGCTGAATATGAGACCTATCCTTGTGGGGTCACAAGTGTTTCGCCAATCCAAGACCCAGAGATCCGTTTACTGATTATCATGAGTGGAGAGTAGGTTTTCGTATTTGTGGGGTTTATCCATTCTGCTGTTTATCGCGTAATGGCGTTTGATAAAGAAGGAAACATATAGCTCTCATTCAAAGATTAACCAGTGATGGAAAGTCGGGGTTGCACATGGAAAACTTTTTCGAGGCTGGAATAAAAACAGACACACACTTGCTTCAGATAAATGGACCAATCGGGTGGTTAAACTGCTAACTATAGACATTTTACCTATGGAATTTGTGTGATGATCAATAACTGTTTCGTCCCTTTGCGGATTCATTATTAACGTTCGCTTTTTGTGTCTGTGTCGTGATTGGAGTTGTAAACGTCGGAGCTGGGAAGCAAAGCTCAAGCCGTTTGGGTGTAAACATCTTGTATCAACATCTTGAGCGAATGGGTCTACCAATTTAGAGTAATATTTGAGAGCCCAAACCATTGAGACACTACTCGCAGATGAAAGGTTTCAGCTCATACTGTGCACTCAAAATGGGCTGGAGGTATACAAATGACAAGTCAAACGGATTATGCTACTTGTCATTCGTTCAATTGACTTACACACCGTATAGTTCTATGAAGGGGCTCCTGGATTTGGGGAGGGGAGAGTCATTGTGCTAATACCGCTATAGTTTTATAAGAAACGTTGCAACTTTAATGTATGCCGTTAACAGATTTCATTCGTGACATTTAAGTTGGAGAGAACCCGCTACGTCATACGGATAAGGACAAACGGGATCCACGTCGAAGGAAGGGAAGCTGATGCCCTACTTGATACCACATCTAGGTAGTATGGGACTAGTATGAATCGATAACCGCAGTCCCATTCCCGTGAGAGAGAAAAACCCAATTCCCCTCACTATGGTTTACTCCTTTCTATATTTATCCCAATACTATGTTGCATAATAAGGAAAGATATCAAATTAGCACCACATTTATGTTCTCCATATGTAAGACTGTGGTATCTTAAAATTAATAATTCCCAAACTGAGATACATCGACTCTCCAGTACAATGTTTATGACAGATTGCACTCCCTCATTCACAAAGTGAGTTCATAGTGTTTTCTTTTGCTTGCAATTTGTGATTATTTTCATCACAGTCTACTCTACATTACATACGCACGATTACCAATACTGTGTTCTCGCCATGAGACCGGAGGAAGGAACGAATGACATCCTAAAAAGTAATTATTTAGATCACTAACCATGGATCCATTAGCGAAAACGAATAGTTCCCCTATTGGAAAGTAGCACTGAATTCTATCTAAGATGCGAAGGAGAAATTTTCCCAACCCTAATCATAAGCCGTAAGCAAAGTATGCGAATTTCTTTTTCTATCTTAAATCCGAGACAAAATGACCGAATTAATGAGAAGATTGCATTGTTTCTTTTGGTCATGTCGAACCCAATATGTTCATAACGAAGCAAGTAGAATAGCACCTTTGGGAGCAGAGTGAAGAAAAAAGGAGAAACATATGGTCTCTGGGGCTCTAAAAGAAATAGTGGTAAAAATTCTAGTTGCTTTGCCAACCACTGGTTTAGGCAAAGCAACACAAACCAGGATCATCAATGACCGAGTTCCCAAAACCCGTCCTCCTCCCTTTCATGTCCACAAGTCCGTGATTCGCTTAACGCATACCTACCCATAGTCACATGATCAGACATGTCGCAGGTTAAAAGCAGAATCCATTAGAGCATGTGTATTTTTTGATGTATAGAAATGAATGAAATTTGTCTTGATTCCGGACGAGTTTTCGCCCATATTGCCCTCAACACATCAGTGTTCTTTGACAAATTTCTGTCTCTCCTTTGACCACCCAATATTTCACATTTGCGCGCACAGACTAAGAATACGAACGATGGTAGAAGCGTTTTGCGGTCAACTTTGTGGTTCCTGAGTGTCAGTGTTTCCCACAGATTGAGGGAAAAATTCCATATTTTCCAATGCCTGGGCATTAATTCCGATCGATAACGAAGACACCATACGCTTTCTGTGATGACCATTTGTCTTTCATTATACTTATTCATTTCCTGTGGAAATAGAACAAAATGAATCCATTATTGGAAGACGCTGACACTTACCCCGTTAAAATTTAACTATTTCCTTCGAGCTTCAATGCCTAGTCTGGAAGGGATATTGCAAATATCCGTTGAGAACATTGCATATTAGTTAGTATGAAGGGATTGAACGTCTCTCTCATTGTATATTTTTGTATGTTTGTGTGCGTGCGTGTGCCTAGAGGGACGAGTGTGTGTGTGTGTGTGTGTGTGTGTGTGTGTGTGA